CGGGCCTCCTGCAGTGCCACAACGATGCCACCCGAAGGTTGCAGGAACAGCATCTCATATTCCGCTTGGGAACCCTGCAGCCCGATGGTATCAATGTGGACTTCACAAGCTTCAAAATCTCCTGTCGCCCTGCCGCATCCCAAAACCAGCCCAGCTCGTACCCGCCTCCCTAACCTGTCCTCCCACCTATCCCCTCCTCCCACCTCAAGCCCCACCCCCATCTCCTACTTACTAGCCTCATCCCGCCTCCTTGACCTGTCCGTCCTCCCTGGACTGACCTATCTCCTCCCTAACTCCCCACCTTTACTGGCTCCAACCCCGCCTCCTTGATCTGTCTGTCTCCTCTCCACCTACCTTCTCCTCTATCCATCTTCTATCCGCCTCCCCCTCTCTCCCTATTTATTTCAGAATCCCCTTCCCCTCCCCTACTTCTGAAGAAGGGTCTAGACCTGAAACGTCAGCTTTCCTGCTCCTCTGATGCTGCTTGGCCTGCTGTGTTCATCCAGCTCTACACCTTGTTATCTCAGATTCTCCAGCATCAGCAGTTCCTACTATCTATGTAACAATATTGTACAGGACTTCTTCAGAGTAACACGGACTCTCGATCCTCTTCCATCTCACTCTATCTTGCTCTCTCTGAGTCATTTGACCATTGCATCATTGTCATCAACACATCCATGTGCCAATACTGCTATAACTCTCCCAGATCACTGGATTCCCACTTAACATGTATAAGCCTTGATTTCTTTTATTCAGCACCACTTCTTACCTCACTTATTGATCTTTGTTGCTTAACTACACCAGTGCAGAGAAGATTAAGAGATTTCATAGAGATATTCAAACTGTTGGTAGAGTAAATGAGGAAAAGCTGTCTCCATTGGCAGAAAGATCAATAATCAGAAGCCATAGATTGAAGATAATAGTACCAGAGGGGAGATGAGAGTTTTTTTTTTAACGTACAGAATTGAGTGATTATATTCTGGATTTCAGAACCTGAAAGGGGGAAGTGGATGGGTGGAAACAGATTTAATACTAATTTTCTGAAGGGAGTTGGACAGGGGAATGGAGCTAACTGGGTAGTTATCTCTAAGGGAACAGGTATGATGGGCCAAATGCCTCCTTCTGTGCTGTAACCATTCTGTGATCTGTGCTGTTTCATTCTGACAGTCTCCAGCTCTATCACCCTCTTCAATACTTAAGAGGTTTGCCAACTTTGACCTTTCATTCCATGCTCCATTCCTTTCAGCCCATCAGTGGCAGCCATGCCCTCAGTGGTTTGGACTGTGACCTCTGGAATTCCTAAACCTTTCTTCCTCTGCTCGATCTTCCCATTTAAGACATTTGACACCCACCTCTTTAACCAAGCTTTCGGGCGGTTCTTCCAGTATCTTCTTTGGCTTGGTATTGACCTTTGTGTGACTGTGCTCCTGCAGAGTGCCTTGGAACAGTTTCTACATTAAAAGAGATTTATACCTGTGAGTTGCGGTTGCTGTAAAATCATTAAAAGTCTTAAACTAGCACAGAGATCAAAGATTCATGTTCACTATTGAAAGAACAAGGAAATGAAGCTGTCAAAACTGTGAAGCACTTTACAAGTGTTCTGCTTTACCAAAGTTCTATACTCTGGCACCAGAGGGACATTTACACACAGCCTTTGCACAGCTTTAGGAATATTTAGAAACTGCTTGGACTTGGGCCTTGCAATTATATATATCTAATGCTGCTGAGAGTACCCTAACACCCAAAATACTCAGCCTGTGTATGTTCAATGGACTTGAGGCAGCAGACGGGGGCCACCATTTGGCTCAGTGCCAGTGCATTAGAGAGAACAAACATTTTGGCAAATTAAACAGTGTTTTCATTCATAAGCACAGTCTAACAACTCCACTGGACATCAAACTAGAACAGTGTTGGGCTCCTATGTGATGACACTTGTAAATGACTATTCCATCTACACTCACATAGTTGTTCAGCTTGACTTGTCAGTTGTGCTTCCAACTCTTTATCAGACCATCATAGGTTCCAGTAACACTGTGGAGTCCAGATCACATAATCTAGACTCACGCACCAGGACTGACAGAACACAGCACTATCAAAGTTACTTAAAATTAGATCCAAACGGCCCTCTACAGAGCATTTAAATAGTATGATCACATGGTAATATTCGAAGAAGTGAAAGGGAGGTGTGCCCCGCACCCAATCTCCGACAGTTAAAATAAAACAAAGAACTGTAGACACTGGACACAATCAAGAACAGAACTTGCTGATGAAACTCAGCAAATCTGGCAGCATCTGTGCAAAGAAAACAGAGGTAACCTTTCGAGGCCAGTGACTTTTTTTCAGAACTAGAAGCAGCTAGGAAAAGGTAGTATTTATGCTGATGACAACAGCTGAGGGTTGGGGTGTGCATGTGTGTGTGCGTGTGTGTGCGCATGTAGCAAGGAATGAACAGACAAGTAGAGATGGAGCCTACAGAGAGAGAAAAATAAGACAGGCAAAGGGATAGTTAATATTAAGCCAGGGAAGAAGAGAAACTACATAGGTGAGAATGGGGACTATGAGTAGTTGAAAATTGGTTGGCTATACTGAAAACAACCCATTTCATGACAGGACCTGGGGCTGTGGAAGTAGGTAAAAGGCAAGGAAGGAGGAGTTCATGATGGGAAATTGTTAAACTTGAGTCCTGAAGACTCTAAGGTACCTAAAAGGAAGATGTGCTTACATGACTTTGCTTGAGTACTGCAACAGGCCTGAGGCAGAAAATATTGGCACATGAATATGGTGGTATGTTGAAGTGGCAGTACACTGGAAGCTCAGGGTCGATTTTACAGACAGAACACAAGTGTTCCGCAAAGCGGTCACCCAGTCTGTGCTTCGTTTCCCCAATGTAGAGGAGACCACACTGCGAGTAGTGAAAACAGCAGAATAGATTGAAATGAAGTGCTGATAAATTGCTGCTTCACTTCAAACATTTACCTGGGGCCTTGGGGAGGTGGTAAATAGGCAAGTGCTGCACCTTTCGCCATTGCATGGGAGGGTGCCTTGGGTTGCGGCAAGGTGTTGGGGGTGAAGGAGGAGTGAACCATAGTGTCCCAGAGGGTCCAGTCCATGCGAAATGCTGACAAGAGAGGGGAGGGGAGAGAAACATAGTCTGGCCATGGCATCCTGCTTGAGGTGGCAGAAATGGTGGCTTATGATCCTTTGGAATGCAGAGCCGGTGGAGTGGGAAGTGAGGATAAGGGGGATCCTATCATTGTTGTGGGAGGGAAGGAAAGGAGCGAGGGCACAAGTATAGGAAATGGGTCCAACACAGCTCAGCCTAGTTTAGAAAAGAGGCAGACATATCTGAGGACCCCTGTGGATGGTGGCATCATTGAAACAGATGCAACGGAGACGGAGAAACTGGCAGAATAGAATGGAGTCTTTACAGGAAGCAGGGTGTGAGGATGTATAGACAAGATAACTGTGGGAGTCAGTGGGTTTGTAATGGATATCGGTGGCCAGCCTAGCCCAGAAATGGAACAGAGAGGTTGAGTAAGGAAAGGGAGGAGTCTGTGATGCACCAGGTAAAGGCAAGGGAAGGCTGGAAATTGAAGGCAAAATTGATCATTTTCTCCAAGGGAGACAAGGAAGGGAAGCAGCACCAATGATGTAATTGATGCATTGGCAAAACAACCGTGGGTAGGACCCGAGTAGGACTGGAACGTGGATTTATTACTTTGGCCAACATCATGCAAACATTTCAATACCTGATTTGATCACTGCTGTTGTGGAAGCTTGCTATGCACAAATTAGCTGCTGTGTTGGCCTACACTACAACAGCGGCTACACTTCAAAAATTCTTTATTGCCTGTGAAACAAGTTGGGTATCCTGAAGTTGTAAACAGATAAAATACAGATGAAAGTCTGATCTCTATCATCTAGACTTTAGTTGGGCAAGGTACAAAGTGGATTTGACAGGGGTGGAACAGTATGGAGTCAACGACTTCAGGAAGCAAAGTGAAATATTGTCAGAAGGAAAAGAATTAAAAACACTTTCGAGTAGCATTCTGTTTTTAAACAGAGCATGTTTGCAGTTTTTTAACACATTCCAAAAATAAAAATGAGTTGCATTTTACCCACTGAATTAATCTCCTACAAACTCTGTGAATCCCAAGGTTATCTGTGGGACATTTTCTTGCACAGCTTCCCACTGGTTTAAATAGCGCTTGTCTACAACACATGATCTGAGATTACTGACCTTGCCATTTTGAAGGGGTGATCGAAGGTATCTGACACTGGTCTTTGATTCTTCTCTTCCAAATCTTCCACTTGCCTGAAGGAAACAGTATTAACATTGCACAGCCATTCCCAGAATCCCAAAACCGTGGAATTCCTCACTATCCTTAATGTTCCATCTTTCCTACAATCTACAGCTTTTATAATGATATGGACATTATCCTCCATTCTATTCCTTTCAATCCTTGTGCACTGTGGCACTTGATCATGCATCTTGGTTTCCCACTAAAAGTCAGATGGATTAAATTTGTGCTTCTGTATGAGGCTTGATTGTACTTCTGTGGGTCAATGGATAATACACATTTCTGAGTCAATAGACTGTAAGTTCAAACCACACGCCTGAGGCTTGCTCTCACAATCCAGGCTGACAATGAGGTATAATGGACTGAAAATTGCAATGTGTATTTTGTCCACTTGAGACTACCAGACACACATGTACCAGCAGAGAAAGTCTGCTCAGAAGAGATACTAACAAAGAAGGGTCCAGGTTTAACAGTTCATGAACTTCTAATAATAAATATCTGAATATATAACTGCTTCTGCCCCAAGAACTTAATTTGGGGGAGTGCTGTTCTGTCAAAGATGAGATGTTAAAACAAGACATTATCTGCCCTTTCAGGTTTAAGTAAAACACCCCATGGCACTTGTTTTGAAGAAGAGTAGGACAATTCTTCCCACTGTCTGAACCAATATTTAAGCAACAACAACAAAACACAGATGATTCAGTCATTAAGCAATTGCTTTTTGTAAGGCCTTGCCAAGTGTTTCCTAACTTAAAGGAACTATTATATTTCAAAAGCACTTTGAACTATCCCAAGATTGTAAGAATATAAGAACTGTCTCATTTATCAAATTGGGGGATGATTGTCCTGAAAATGTGAAAATCGATCCTGGGACAAGACACATCATAGGCCATGCTAATGTATATATTACACTGATAAGGCAAAGGAGACCTTTGTCACATAGACCATTGTGACAAACCTGCCCTTTAATGTTGGGTTCTCAGAGCTGAACCAATTTAAAGATTCCTGCCAATTTAACATACAAATCAATTCCAACCTATTTCAACTTTACATTAGTGGCATTCTTAATACTGGATAAAACTTTGAATTACATAGAATTTACAGCACAGAAAAAGTTTATTCATCCCATATCTCACTTTCACTTAAATACTTCTACACTATTTGCCTCAACTAACTTATGTGGTAATGAGTTTCACAGTCTATTGGCTCTCAGGGCAAAACGAGTTAAAGATCTTTCTTATCTGGTCTTCTTTTAACTCATTGTTATCATCTTTTGCTTTTTCTGCTTTCATTAGCCTTTGCAAACAAAAACACTAATTGTTTATTTGCATTCCTTTTCCTCTCTCTTGTCTCAAAGACAGGGTTCATTAAATGCTCAGAGGGGCACCTGGAATCATAAACTGATATAATGCATAAAAAGGCCATTCGGCCCATTACGACTGCATCCAATCCAGCTGGTGTTTCTTACAGGTGGGAGGCTATGGTAGTCAGAAGACAATCCCACCGCATATACCGCAGGTCAGATATCACAGGCCTTCTAAGCTTGTCATCACCAGATGTTCATTCAAGTACATCCCATCTCAGCTCACTGGTTAGTAAACAGGAATGGAGATGACCAATGGCTGACTTTCACCTTCATATAAAACAGGCATTGAGGTCAAATGAGACCCTCCCCTACTGCTACTCTAGCTTAGCTCAGTAGATCAGAACTGCATGGACAATGCATATCAGCAAAAGGATCCTTGGGTTGGGTCCCTTCTCTCATGAAAACAGAAGGCTTGTAGGTGACCCAAATTGAGATCTTTGAAATGGTTTAAGGCTTGATACAGTGGATATAAAGAGAATGTTTCCTCTTGTCGAAAAGTGCTTAACTAGAGGCCATTGATATAAGAAAATCACCAAGATATCCAACAGGGAATTCTAAAACACCTCTTCACCCAAACAGTAATAAGAACGTGAAACTTGTTACCAGATGAAATGTTTGAAGTGAATAGTTTAGATTCATTGAAGGGGAATCTAGTCAAGCCTATGAGAAAGAAGAAAATTGGGACAGTTTGAAACTAGATTAAGGTAAGAAAAGAGACAGACGGACGCTTAAACATAGTATACGCAGCAGCATGCACTAGTTAGGCCAAATGGCCTATATCTGTGCCAAATATTCTATAAGCTTATAACCTTCCCTCTCCACATAACTCAGTTTCAAGATCAACTTCGGTTGGTTATAATCCCGGATACTTTATCACATGACCCTCTTACTTTCAATCACTCTGTCTCATTAAATGGTTTCCTCTTCCCATCTAAACTATCTTTATGAACAAGTTAAAGTGTTAAAAGAAAATGAATGGAATACATTATGCATTTTTCATGTGCTCCTGTGATTTTTCTGCTGGGATTGGAGGGGGTCTGGTTGCTCATAGCAGCCTCCTGAAGATTAATGTTTTCTTTCTGGAAACTCCAGGGCCACCCTGGAGAGTTTGCGATCCAAGTACCACACTGGGCAGTGCTGAGATCCCACAGCTTTATTAAGACAAGAATCTTCAATGCATTTCTCATATGAGAACAAACCTTGTTGGTTTCTGAAGCCACTCGAGAGCATTTAGTGAAAAACTTCGACTCGTCTTTTCGTGAGTAAAACTTTGCATCCATCTAAAAGCAAAAGCAAAAAAGTGTGGTTAATTAATGTCATGGCCTTTAAGAAATTATCCACCGTAACAATTCACAGGACAACAGCAGTTACTGAGCAAGAGCAAGAATACATAAACACAGTGAGAATCACTCATTTCAGACTGTAACACAAATAAAAAGATTTGACACTCTCACACCCCAAAAATTTTACAGCCAATGAACATACAAATTAGGAGCATGAGTAGGCCATTAAGCCCCTCAAGCCTGCTCGAGTCATTCAATAAGATTCAATAAGATTATGGCTGATCTGATGGCAAACTCAAATATTCCTGCTTTCCTCAAGTGTAGCATAAATATGAGCATGCACTGATTGGACTGACTGGCCTGCTCCTGCACCAGACATTCTATATAATTAAGCCTATCACCTTCCCTCTCCACATAGTTCAGTAACACTGAGAGTTGCCAATGGACACATATTTCTGCACACTTCATTACATGATCCTCTTCACTTTCAATCACTGTTTCATTAAGTGGCTTTCCTCTTCCTTTCTCCAAAACTTTCAACTATTTTGTTCCAAAGACTAACCACCTTCTGACAGAAAATATTTTGTTTCATCTGTTTTAAATGGTTTACATTTGATTTATAAACAGTGACCCCCTGGTTCTAGATACTCCCATAACAGAAAACATCCTCTCCCCATCTACCATGGCAAGACCCCTCAGGATCTTACATGTTTCAATCAGATTACTTCAATCTTCTAAACTTCAGCAGATAAAAACCAAATCAGTCCAAACTTTCCTCATCACACAATCCACTTGTTTCAGGTATTAGTCTGGTAAATTTTCTCTAAACTGCTTCCAATACATTTACATTCTTCTTTAAACCTTCCTCATGGACATCTTTAAAAGTGCCTTCACCGTTGTAATGTAGGAGATGCAGCAACCATAGAATCATAGAATCCCTACAGAGCAGAAGCAGGCTATTTGGCTCATTGAGTCTAACCAACATTCCAAACAGCATCCCACCAAAACCCACCCCTTACCTTATCGCTGTATTTCCCATGGCTAACCCATCTAACCTACACATCCCTGGACACCACGAGCAATTTAGCATGACCAATTCACCTAACATCTTGGGACTGTGGGAGGAAACCGGAGCACCCTGAGGGAACCCATGCAGACATGGAGAGAATGTGCAAAATCCACACAGACAGTCGCCCAAGATCGGAATCAAATCCGGGTCCCTAGCGCTGTGAGGCAGTAGTGCTAACCACTGAGCCACCATGCTGCCCTGCAACCAGTTTGCACACAGCCAGCTCCCACAAACAGGAGTGCAATAATTGTCAGATTATGTTTCCTAGTGCTATTGATTGAGGAATAAATGTTGGTCTGACACCAGGGCAAATACCCTGGTTTTCTTCAAACTAATGACTTGGGGTCTTTGATGACCACCTGAGTGGGCAGGTATAGCACTGATTTAATGTTCCATCTGACAAGCAGTACCTCTGACAGTTGTGCATTGGAGTCTCAGCCTAGGGTATGAATTTCCCTGTGGGTTTCTGAACCCTTGCTTCTCAGGCTCAAATGTAGGAAGTCACAAGCCTGCATCACATGGAAAAATCACTCAACGTGATTGTCGTTGGATTACCTAATTAATGGCAACAAGGTGGGCCTGTCATCTAATATGGGAACAGAGAGAAAAAGGATTTGTCTGCCCAAGTACATAAGGACTGCAGAGCAGGTTTATAAGATTGTTTTGAAATAGTCATTGTGGTCTCAATTATAAAAAGAGAGAGAGGGACATTGAGTACAAAGCAATGAAGTTATGCAGATATTTTATGAGGGTCGGCTGTTGAAAGATGGTGGGTGGGCTGTCGAAACTGGGAGTGGGAGGAAGTGGGGGGAGCACAATCAGAGGCCTGTCAGCTTAAAAACAGCAGCAACCAGGTAAGTGACGGTCAGCGTGCTTCAAAATGGAGCTTGCCAATCTTTTAAAAGGTTAAATGACAAAACACCTTTGTAGCCAGACCATCACTGTCACGGATGGGTGGGCAAGAGCCCTTTCACTGGGCACTGCTGCACCCAGCCAGGCAGAGAGGTGACATACAGCTTGCCTGGAGTGACAACCCCTTGGCTTACCACCAAGAAACTGTCTCTAAGCCACTCAGCCAGCCCAACTTCCCATGGAAACCTGCAGACAGACTTGAAAATCCCAGTTAGTCACCTTTAATTGTCCTTAACCGGTTTTTAATAATCCTACTTGGTGACCCACTGTGCACAATGCCTATACAAAAATAATTCAGCAGCCTGATAGAGTAAGGAAAATGTGATGCTATCAGCAACATTACTTTCAGTGCCCTAATCAAACCATTAGTTTATGTGCTCATGATTCAGACAGTCACGTAGTAGTAGAGAATTTGGGTATTGCTGAAGAAAAGAGACATGCTGTCAAACTTTTCATTTTGTACTCATCAGCACAGATACAAGAATGCCAAATTTCAAAGGGAGCAACAATTTCTTCTGCATGAGAAAAGGGGGCTGCTCAGCAAGTTGACTGGTTGAGGCGTTGCCCTGGAGAATGCATTAAAGTCCCTCATGTTTTTGTTTAATTGAATAAAGTCTCAATGCTTGGAAATATTCCCTACTCCTGCAGCACAAACAAGCATTCTTTTCTTAAGTAGTATAGATTGTTCCCTTTGAAATTTGGTATTCTGGCTCTAGTCCTGATGAGTGTGATTTGAAAAACTTCAATAACATTTGTCTCTTTTTCAGTCATACTGATGACCCACAAGTGATTCTACTACACCCCTGAGGCACAGCTGAATACGGTGTCACGTGAAAATAAGATGAAGTTCCAGTGAATACACAGTCAACTTGTATTTAAGTTCCCAGGATTCAATCCTTGATCAGCATTTATCTCCAGTCACAAAGGGGCACTATAATTGGCTTTTGGGTGAGAGGGACAAGAAAAATGAATTTAACCAATGATTTGATTCAATCACTAGAGGTAATATGAACTAAATTAAAGGAGATAGAGGAACAGAGAAAATGAAGGATTTGCTGGCAGAAATACTCAAAGATCACAAGGCAAGTTCGTAAGATTGTTTCAAACAAGTGTGTGGGATCTTGATTGTAAATAGAAAATGGAAGCAGATGAACATACAAACAAGGAACAAATGTAAACCATTCGGTCCTTTGAGCCTCCTCCACCATTCAATAAGATCATGGCTGATCTGATTTCGACCTCAAGATATTTGGCAAAAGAACGAAAGGGGAGGTGAGGAAACTTTTATTTAACACAGTGAATTGGCATGCACTCACTGCAGTGGAAGCATTTTAAACGGTGACTTGCAAAAGAGAATTGGACAAAGTACTTGATCAGGAAAATTGCAGGGTTTTGGGAAAGAAGCAAGAGAGCAGGACTAATTGGACAGTTGTTTCAGAAGACCTGCATTGGTCTGAATGGTCACCTCCTATTCCTGTATCCCTGTTGGTTCAGGAAAGGATCAAGCATAAAGTGGCCCCTAACACAGAATAAAGCAGCCTGTCAACTCTCAATGTCACAGTTCACATGTGATGAGTAGCCAATTGGCAAGATATCAGAAAATAGCTGGCAAACAGGAGAAAAATCCACTTCTTTCGACTAAATTACACAGAAAGCTTTCAGAAAAATACCCAATTTGAAAGAAACATAAACAACAAATACCTCATCGTATTGATGAGCTATGTATTGATTTTTCTCTTTAGTTTCCAATGTTTTTGAATAGATTTGTTTATTTAGGCCTCTGTCAACCTGAAAATAAGGGTTCAACTTCTAAATAAAAACCAAAAGAACTGCAGATGCTGTAAATCAGGAACAAAAATGGAAGTTGCTGGAAATACTCAGTGGTTCTGTCAGCACCTGTGAAAAAAAAAACAGAGTTAACGTTTTGGGTCATCACTGGACCTGAAACGTTAACTCTGATTTTTTCTTCATAGATGCTGCCAGACCTGATGAGCACGTCCAGCAACTTCTGTTTTTATGAGGGCTCGACTTCAGTAGTTTAAAAACTAAGGTCATTCCTAGATACCTACTCCAAATTTATTCCACCTCTTTTGGTTTTTCCCCTACCTTTTCAACTGCCTCAACCTTGTCCAATTCTGGTCTCAATGCTTTTATCTTCTTCCATGTCTCACAATATATTGATGCTCATACATCAATGGACGGGAGCCCTGCAGACTGGACTAATTGTGCTCAATTCAAATACAGCACACCTAAACTTCACTGAAACAGGGCAGCATTTTCATCATGTGAGGTCACTCTTTGGTTGACCTAACCTTTCCGTTTACTAATCAACGCAGAACTTGAACATTGTTAAAAAGAGATACATGTTGTTGAAACTTTTCATCTAGCACTCATCAGGACAAACACAAGAATGCCAAATTTCAAACGATCACAACAATTTATATGACTGGAGAAAAGGGAGTTGATTGGTTGGCAAGTTGACTCTACGTGACTGAGGCATTGCCATGGAGAAAGCAAAGGGTACTATAGCTCTCGGGTAATTCAAAACAAGTTGCGAGGTTTTCAACATAAAAACAGTAGCTCCTTATGAACACTGTGAAGTTTCCGATTCAGGCAATCATGTGGGCTGGTTTCTAAACCAGGTGGCATGGTGAAGGTTTGCAATGATGGCATGGTGGCTCAGTGGTTAGCATTGCTGCCTCACAGTGCCAGGGACCTGGGTTCAATTCCAGCTCAGGCGACTATCTGTGTGGAGTTTGCAATTTCTCCCCATGTCTGTGTGGGTTTGCTCTGGTTAGCTCCCACAGTCCAAAGAGGTGCAGGGTAGGTAGATTGGCCATGCTAAATTGCCCATAGTGCCCAGGGATGTTTAGGTTAGGTGGGTTAGACATGGGGAATGGGGGTGATGCTCTTCAGAGGGGTGGTGTGGACTTGTTGGGCTGAATGGCTTGTTTCCACACTGTAGGGATTCTATGAAAACTGGTACCTGGAAGAAGGGGACTGTCCTTTGGGAGAT